CTATGCAAAATTTTGGCGCTGATTACAAAAGACAGATAGACGGAGAGACAGAGGACAGACAGACGGACATGGTTACATCGTCATAAAATTTTACGCTGATCAAGAATATATATACTTTATAGGGTCGGAAATTATTATTTCTATGAGTTACAAACGGAAAAACAAAATTAATATACCCTCCATACTATGTTGGAGGCTATAAAAAACTTAGTAAGAAAAAGTTTATACTAAAAACTTCTTCTTCATATATTGGTAACTTCAATAATTAATAGATCGTTCTCGAACTTAACGTTTTGGTCTTTTATCTTGATATCCTCTGAAGGTGGAATGACTACAACAAATGGCTAAATCGTCTATGAGGGGGAGGGTGGCGAATATATATAATTTTTGGGAGGGACATGTGTCACCATGGGTGACGTGATAGATACCAAGGAACGGCTCTGATTGGCTTTAACATGCAAAGCCCAGGCTTATCTTGGTCCGTTTTTCATCTCAATAGTGGACACTGACTTCCCCGTGGTGTCACCTGGGATAGCTACTTTCAGCCCCCGTTGATATAGTGAGCTGATATATGCACCGAGTTCGCCCATAACAACTATAATGGATTGAGGCATTGGGGTAGTTGCCCACACTCGGAAAACGCCACCTACTATGAATTGACAATGAAAAAGGAAACCAAACCTCCCGGAAACTTATAAAGGATCACAAAATGTGAATCTGCACATGGAATTTGCTCACATTGAACAGAACAAGCACAGTTTTCGCTTTGGCCTGTGTACTCAAGAAGTACAAAGTCGATATTATTGCCTTACAGAAAATGCGATGGAATGGGACAGGCGGTAAGTAAATCAAATGATTACGCACTGTATGAAACGATACATAAATTTGACTGGGGATTTATATTTAGCAGGAGAATAAAAGACATTGTCTCCAGATTCACTGCAGTAGATGAGCGAATTAGTATAATCCGTAGAAAAGCTGGGTTCTTCTACATCAGCCTCCCAGCTCCGACGGAAGACAAAGATCAGCAGACCAAAGACATATTCTACGAGGACCTAGAAACAGCATATGACCGCTGCCATCATATTAAAATTCTGCTAGGAGATTTTAATTTGGCCTCACTGTCGGAAAATCCAGCCTCCATGAAGAAACGGCAGGAGGTTGTTTGACTTCGCGGCAGCAAAAACAGAGAAATGCATACCCAATACATTGACAAGACGATATGTGTATATGTGTAGAGGAATAAGTCTCCTTCTCATTGCGTATAAAGTGCTATCCAGCGAGCAGTGTGAACGACTGAAACCAATAGTCAATGACATTATTGGACCATACCAATGCGGCTTCAGCCCTGGCAAATCCTCCATTGACCAGATTTTCACTCTGAGCCAAATCCTGGAAAAGACCCACGAAAAACACTTTCCACCTATTTGTCAACTATACTCGTAAAGCGGCATTCGACAGCTCAATCTGTCCCTGGCTCCCATATAAGGGTACCCGCAAAATTTCGGTATTTTGGGGTTCTTAAGCGCGTTTTCAGCCGAATTCGCTGAAATTTGGTACACTGGGTTCTTATTGGATACAAAATGTCTCCACAAAAAATTATAAGTATAGGTCCCCCATATAACGGTACCTCTTAATTTTCAGTATTTTGGGGGTTTTGATCGTATTTTTCCTTCGAATGTGGCTGTAATTTAGTATTTTGAGTTCGTTATAGGTTTCAAATCGCTCCACAAAAAATTATAAGTATATGTCCATTTTTTTCGGATAGCCCCCATATAAGGTCACCCCCAATTTTCGGTATTTTGGGGTTCTTGAGCGCGTTTTTCAACCGAATACGCTGAAATTTGGAACATTCAGTTCTTATTGGGTACTAAATGTCTCCACAAAAATTATAAATATAGGTGCACTTTTTCTGGTAGCCCCCATATAACGGTACCTCCTAATTTTCAGTATTGTGGGGGTTTTGATGGTATTTTTTCACCGAACTGGCTGTAATTTAGTATTTTGAGTTCTTAGTAGGTACCAAACCTCTTCACAAAAAATTATAAATATATAATAATTATAAATATAGGTCCATTTTTTCGGATAGCCCCCATATAAGGGTACCCCCAAATTTCAGTATTTTGAGATTCTTGAGCACGTTTTTCAACCGAATTCGCTGCACTAATTTCGAAAGAAATAATAAGATGGGCAAAGTGTGGATGAAATCAAATTTTTTTGAAACAAATTTGGTCCAAACAAACATGGGGTCTAGGACCATAATCGGTTTGTAGAAATGTCGGTATAGGTACACTTTTTGGTATGTTCCCTATATTTTTACTTCAAGTGCCTGTCAGTATATCTATGGTGGAGGGTATCCAAAGTTCGGCCCGGCCAAACTTAACGTTTTTTCACTTGTTTTAGTTTAGTAAGAAATCAGCGTAGGTAGATAATGTCTAAATATCGATACTCTCAGATAAATTATTGTGTATAATTTGTTTAAAAAAAACGATCGTTATCTAGATCGTTGTATAAGTTTATCTGAAATAGTTTTCTATATTATCTACTTTAATAGATAAAATATCCAGACTCTCAGACAACTTATGGTGTATATTTTATAAAAAAATTGTAGTTAACTTATCTAGACCGGGTATATATTTATCCTTTATAGTTTTTTTTAATTATCTACTTTAATAGATATTATATAGAGGCTCTCAAATAAATTGTGATGTATAATTTATAAAAAAAATTTAGATAATTTATTTAGACCCTTGTATACATTTAGCTGATGTATATTTCTAAATTATCTATTTTAATAAATAATTTATCTGAGTGCTTGGATAATCTCAAATAAATTATGATGTAGATAAAATGTAGATAATTCATCTATACCATTGCATATGTTTATCTAAAAGAATTTTCTAATTTTCTACCTTGTTTTTAACTTAAAACCAGTAAGGAAAGTAGTAAAGTCGGACTGGGCCGACTATATGATACCCTTCACCACTGGGGATACATGTGTGGAATATGTATCCTAACAGACGTCGCCTTTTCTAAGGAACATTGACATGAAATTGAACGAACTTAGATCGGACGAAAATAAATATGGGAGCTATATATAAATCTGACCCGATTATCTCGAAACTTAGCACACATCATTCTGGACCTAATTCAGTACTCTGTGCCGAATTTCGTGCAAATCGAAAGATATATAGGGACTTTGAACTTCGGACGAAACTATATATGGGAGCTATATCTAAATCTGGCCCGATTTTCTCGAAACTTGGCACACATCATTCTGGACCTAATTCAGTACTCTACGCCAAAATTCGAGAAAATCGAAAGATATATGTGTACTTTGGTGAATCATTTACATTAAATCGGACGAAAATATATATGGGAGCTATATCTAAATATTGACCGATTTTCTTGAAACTTAGCACACATCATTATGGACCTAATTCAGTACTCTGTGCCAAATTTCGTGCAAATCGAAAGATATATAGGGACTTTGGTGCACCATTTACCTTAAATCGGACGAAACTATACTAAATCTGACCCGATTTTCTCGAAACTTTGCACACACCATTCTGGACCTAATTCAGTACTCTGTGCCAAATTTCGTACAAATCGAAAGATATATAGGGACTTTGGTGCACCATTTTCCTTAAATCGGACGAAACTATACTAAATCTGACCCGATTTTCTCGAAACTTTGCACACACCATTCTGGACCTAATTCAGTACTCTGTGCCAAATTTCGTGCAAATCGAAAGATATATAGGGACTTTGGTGCACCATTTACCTTAAATCGGACGAAACTATATATGGGAGCTATATCTAAATCTGACCCGATTATCTCGAAACTTAGCACACACCATTCTGGACCTAATTCAGTACTCTGTGCCAAATTTCGTGCAAATCGAAAGATATATAGGGACTTTGGTGCACCATTTTCCTTAAATCGGACGAAACTATATATGGGAGCTATATCTAAATCTGACCCGATTTTCTCGAAACTTTGCACACACCATTCTAGACCTAATTCAGTACTCTGTGCCAAATTTCGTGCAAATCGAAAGATATATAGGGACTTTGGTGCACCATTTTCCTTAAATCGGACGAAACTATATATGGGAGCTATATCTAAATCTGACCCGATTATCTCGAAACTTAGCACACACCATTCTGGACCTAATTCAGTACTCTACGCCAAATTTCGTGCAAATCGAAGGATATATAGGGACTTTGGTGCACCATTTACCTTAAATCGGACAAAACTATATATGAGAGCTATATCGAAATCTGAAGCGATTTTTCCCATTTTCAACAGGGTTCGTCCTGTGCCAAATTTCATCCAAATCGGATTATAAATGCGACCTGTATTTTGTTAACAAAAACACATGGACGGACGGTCGGACAGACGGACATGCATAAATCGACTCAGAAAGTGATTCTATGCACATTCTCAAAAGGAACCATGGGTCTATCTCGATTATTTTTCCCTGTTACAAACATATGCACATAGAGATAATACCCTGTACCACACTGTGGTGAAGGGTATACAAAAGACGAGTTGATAATATAAATCATAATATTTTAAGATAAATTATCTACGAAGATAAATATCTGTTGTCATTTGCCATAACCTCATTTAAATTTGCAGCACTGTATAAATTGGTAAACTAAAAAATATTTTTTTTCCCAATTGAGGTTTGATTTTCTACCGGTTAAGCGGTTGGGGGAAACATATGGGGTACGGAAAGGTTACGCTTTCCACTTCAAATGCGGGTTAGTTACAAAGAAATCAAAAACAAAAACTACAATTACTAAATTCCCTGCTGGCAAAATTGGTGTTAGTTTTCAAATTGTTTGCTCAAAAAAACAACAACAATAACTATTTTTTTAAATTAAAAAAAAAATTATTCAAATAAAAACTTAACTGTTATACAATATATGTTTGTATATATAAATTGATATATAGATATGTAAAGATAAATGTCAAAAAAATTAAGGCTTACTTTATGTAGTGTGGTTTGTTCTTCTAGCTGCATCTAATAGTTTTTTTTTTTAATATTTATTCGGTTTTGGTTTGGTATTGGTTTAAATATTTGGTTGTGGTGGTATTTGGTGGTGATGGAACGGTTGATAATTGGTTGGTTGTATTTAAGAGGAGTAGAGTAGTTATTGGTTGTATTAGTTGGTTGTAGAACATATAATAGTTGTTGTAGTTGGCGATGTAGTTGATGATAAAGGTAGTAGTAGTAGTAGTAATAGGAGGAGTAGTAGTAGTAGATATTCAATATATATTTGGAGTTGATATAGAATATTTTTTTTAATAAAAAAAAAAAACAATAACGAAAAAAATATAGGAAAATTTTGTATAAGTATAGAGTATTGTAACATTTAGAGATATTTATATTGAAATATATTTATATTCAAATATATTTATATAAAAAAATATATTTATGTATATATATACCATAAATACAAATATGTATACAAATATTTATAATAAGTTGATATGTATTAAATATTCGCAACACAGTTAACATTTATCACAAGGGAAATATTTCTTGTTCTGTTTTCTGTTTTTTTTTTGTTTGTTTTTAGGATAGGTAATCAATCCACTAACAACTACATAATAATATTATTTATTATCATCTAAATAACAACAACATCAACAATTAATAATTCTCTTATACCTGAGATCTTTCCAAGTCATGTTTAAGGCGTTCATTTTCCAATTCCAAACGGGCTATACGCTGTTTTGTCGTCTCCCAATCGGCATTGCTACGGCCCATTTCACACGTGGCCTTTTCGAGTTCCGCCTTCGATTTGCCCAGTTCACTTTGCGATGCCTCCAATTTAATTTCCAAACGTTCACGTTCGGTAACGGCACGCTCCAATCGAGTGTTCAACTTTTCCACTTCGCTTTCGAGGGCCCTCAGCTTGATCTTGTAGTCGGCAATTTCACGCTCATGCAGTTCACGTTCTTCTTGCTTTTCGTGTTCGGCACGATCTCGCTGTTCTCGTAGCTGAGCCATTTGCTTTTCTTTGTCGCCAATGGCCTCTTCGAGACTTGTGAGAGCGCCCTCAGAACTGCTATGATGAGCTTGCATTGCCGACAAACGGGCCCGGGCCATATCCACCTGATTGTCTTTCTCCTTAAGCAAATCTTCGAGATTTTCAATCTATACAAAACGAGTGTTAAGAAAATGTTAACAACAACAAGAGGGGGGAGGGTGGTTGTTCCAAAAGAGAAATAAAAACAAAATTTTTTGGTATTAGGATTATGTGGTTATACTACTAGGAATCATTTTTTTTCAATATTATTAGTTTTCAAAACGAATCTAAAAAAACACCTTTCTCTGCAGCACACATATTTTACGATCTTTGATCTCCATGTGATCCTTGAGCTCGGTCAATTCGCTCGTCAAACGGTTGCGTTCCTGCACCGTTTGCAGTGTGCCCTGAGTCTTCTTCTCCAGCAGGCGATTCTTCTCCTCGAGCCGGGCCCGCAGCTCCTCAACATCAGCCTGCAGCATATTGTAGTGTTCCTCCTTGGCACATAGTGACTCCTTTAACACCGCAATATGCCGTTGGTAGTCCTGTGTGGAAAATTTAAGTTTTGTAAAAATCTTGTTTCAACAATTTTATTTCACCAATTAACTAATCTACAGGGAATAGGGCTACATCATTGAATTTCTCCTACATTACTTTATTTTAGGGGTAGAAGGATTTTTATTTGGAAATTGTTCAAAAATTGTGGCTACATCTTAAAAATTATTTTTTTTATACCCTCCACCATAGTATGGAGGGTATATTAGTTTTGTTTTTTCGTTTGTAACTCATCGAAATAATCATATCCGACCCTATAAAGCCGTGTCCGTTCCGACGATATAGCCATGTCCGTCTGTCTAAAAGAATTGAGATATATCGCCAAAATTTTGCATAGGGTCTTTTGTCTGTAGGCAGGTCAAGTTCGAAGATGGGCTTTATAAGTCCACGTTTAGGCATAGCTCCCATATAAGGGTACCCTCCACGTTTAGGCATAGCTCCCATATAAGGGTACCCTCCAATTTTCGGTATTTTGGGGTTCTTGAGCGTGTTTTTCAAACGAATTCGCTGAAATTGGCTACATTTGCATAGGGTCTTTTGTCTGTAGGCAGGTCAAGTTCGAAGATGGGCTTTATGGGTCCACGTTTAGGCATAGCTCCCATATAAGGGTACCCTCCACGTTTAGACATAGCTCCCATATAAGGGTACCCTCCAATTTTCGGTATTTTGGGGTTCTTGAGCGTGTTTTTCAAACGAACTCGCTGAAATTGGCTACATTGGGTTCTTATTGGGTAATAAATATCTCCACAAAAAATTATAAATATAGGTCCACTTTTTCTGGTAGCCCCCATATAACGGTACCTAATTTTCAGTATTTTGGTGTTTTTTATCGTATTTTTCCGCCGAATTAGTTGTAATTGGTATTTTAAGGCCTTAAAAGGTTCCAAATATCTCCACAAAAAAAAAAATATGAATATAGGTCAATTTTTCGGATAGCCCCCATATAAGGGTACCCTCAATTTTCTGTATTTTGGGGTCCTTGAGCGCGTTGTTTAACCGAATTTGCTGATATTTGGTATTTTGTAGTCGTATACGGTAACAAATATTCGCCCTCTTTTTGGGGTAGTCCCCGTATAACTCCATTTGTATACCCTACACAACTATGTTGTCAGTATTATTATAGCTTTGTGCAGCCCCAAGAGTTTGTAACGTCGCGAAATATTGGTCCTAGACCCACCTTTAAGTATACCGATCGTCATATCTCGACTAGATGAGTCGATGTAGACATATGTGTCCGTCTGTCTGTCCATTATAATTTGTAAACACGATACAGGCCACAGTTATGAACCAATCTTCACGAAATTTTGCATGTAGGAAGGGTTCGGCCCAATGAAGACCCCTATTGTTTTTGGTAAAGATCGGTTAATATTAAGGGATGAAATTGACCAAATACTTAATTTTTGTCGGTTTTTCTGATCGCTCCAGACATCTCGAATTTTTACTTGGAGAAGGGAATTAGTCCAAAAAATAAGCATGTCTGTTTCAATAAAGATCGGCCAATATTTAGCGGGTCAAATGGACCCTGAGTTTTGTGTGAAAAATTACAAAATTTGTGTTCTATGGCATACATGTTTACTCCTGAAGGACATAGAGCCGAGAAGTTGATAGTATATCCAAGAGGAATGATTGGCCTTTAAATTGATACCAATTATATTGTCGTATTTAATCGGATGTGGGAGTTTCACGTAAATATTTACAGGTGCTTACGTATTCAGATATTATTTAATAAGCCATTACCACACTAGAGGGCGGCAGTATAGCGCTGATCGCTTTGAAATGTTCCATGAGGTTCCAGTTATGGTCAAGTACAACGCCTATAATTTTCGGTTATGATCATATAATAATATTGAGATTAAGTGGACCGAAAACTTAATTTTTTGTGTTTTTTTCGAGTCGATCTATAGGCCACAATTGAAAGGCGAACATTACGGTGAACCCACGGAGAAGGGAATCTGGACAAGTGATTGGAAGAGCTGTGCTGAATATTAGTAATATTTGTTGACCTCTAGTCGGTCAAGAGGATGCAAATATCGCGAAATATTGCCCAAGCTCAGAAATACACCGCAGAAAGTTAGATTTTCGTGTATGTTGTGTAGGGTATCATATGGTCGTCCGACTATACTGCTCCGCTCACTGATTTATATTAAAATAGTTATCTGAATCGTTCCGCGTTTTGAGTGTGGTTCTAAGATTCTGTTATAATCATTTCACCTGCGGAGGATAGTGATATAAAAAATTCGAACGTAAGGTTCGATAATGAACTATAGCCGCATTTAGACCTAACCCCTGTGTGGGAGGTACGAGAAGGAGTGTACCGATATTCCCCATCTACAAACTTGAACTAAGTTTGGAAGTAATAATAAGATGGGCAAATCAAATGAAATCAAAATGTTCTGAAACAAATTAGGTCCAATGAAACATGGGGTCTAGAACCAATATTTGGATGAGGCACATTTTAATCGTGTCAAAGTGTATACACCCTCATTATAGTACGTTTACATTTAACCGGATTACGTTAACCCAGTGGGTTTCAATTGTCTATTCCTTTGCATATACTCAAATAAATCCTCATAAGGTAGGTTAACCCGGTAAAAAGTTCTAATGTACAAGGAGTTTTAGCTATAAAGCTGAGGGTATAATTATCCATTAAAAATTTCTGATATTTGTATTATAGTTTACATAATCGGTTTGTAGAAATGTCGATATTGGTCCACTTTTTGGTATTTTCCCTATATTTTCATTTCAAGTACCTGTCAGTATGGTGGAGGTTATCCAAAGTTCGGCCCGGCCGAACTTAACGCTTTTTCACTTGTTATTTAATGTTCTTGATATCGTCAGCCCGAACTTAACACCGGTTTTGGTTCTTTCGTAATATTCTTCAGTTAGTTGTTTTTTTACGAAGAATTTGAATTATTTTTTCATTTTGAATTTTTTATGTTCTCTTTAAAAGTGTTTTTTTAATCTCGTTGATGTTTTTTATTTTTTCTTCGGGAATATTACTTGTTTGTTTTAGAGCATTTATTTAAATATTTTTGAACAATTTCCAAATATATAACTACATATGTATGTATTTACAATTAGTAATGCTAAGGTGGCCACTAAATACTAGTAATATTATATATTTTTTTATTTTGTGTGTTTATTTAATTAATAATTGATTTGATCGCTTTACCTGATGTTGTTCTTCCAATGTTTTCATTTTGGCCGCCATAGCCAAAATTTCTTGATCCCTCCTCTGTATTTCAAGACGGAATTCGTCCAACTGTTAAAAAACAAATTGTTGTTTGTTTTTTTTTTTTTTGAGTGGGAGTAAAAAAGATTCAATTAAAAAAAAATAGAAAAAGAAAATATTTTAGAAAATATATTTCAATATAATTTTTTGTTTAGTAAAAAATCAGACGACACACAGAAGAGATGTCATGAGAATTATTTTCTGGTTTTTTTTATGATGAAAATCATGTTAATGAATGAAAATCTCGAATACGATCGATAAATGTTTGTCATGATAGTAGCTATGGTAGTCCGTCTGTTTGTCCATTGTCTTTATGGTGTTGTGTTGGTTCAGTTGGGTCATGTGATGAAAAAAAAACAAAAGGAAAATAAAAACAGTTCTTCATTTTCGTTTTGGCAACATTTCCTTTGAGGGCGAAAATGTTGTTCGGAAGTCTTTAATACTTTTCGGTTCGTCCGGTCATTTGTCGAATGGTCTTTTGTTTTTTTTTTTTATTTTTAAGCAATAAATTTTACATTTCGTCTTTATTTGGTTTTTCTTTTCATTCTATTTTGTTGCCCTATTTCTCATGATGTATTGATAACAAAACTGTTTGTGTCTACTTCAAACTTTTTCAAGGAAATCAAGGAATGTTGAAATACCAGCTGTTAAATTGCTTTGCCAAAAATTAAAAAAAAAAATACTAAAGTTAATGACAGTTTGATGGTCAGTTGTTTTTGTTTTTTAAGTATTTTTTTCTTTATTTATTTATTTTTATTTCTTTTTTCATGTTTTATTGTTTATGGAAATTTATTTTATTATTTTCTTCTTCTTGTTGTTGTTTAATAATACTTTTTTTCTCTAGTTTAATATTTTGTTATATCAAATATTCGTTTGTTTTGTTGTTGTTGTTTATTTTTATTTTTCGACAAATACAATAGTTGAGTTGAAAATGTTTTTTTGTTGTTGTTATTTATTTTTTTCTTTTTATTTTGGTTTAGCTTGAAAATTTTGTTGTTGTTATTTTGTAAATTATTATTAAAAAGGAATACAAACACAGTTTGGTTGCTTGAGATACGATATCTAACTTATGCGGTAAATGCAAAAAAACTCTTTGTTTTTTTCTTTCTTTCTTTGTATTTGAGGTTATGTATGATATAATTATCTAATTGCTATTAATAATAATGCTTTGCTTATTTTTGTTTTTTTTTAATATTTGCTATGTTATATATGTATGTTGTTGTGAGTATATATGTATGTATGTTTGTGTATGGGATTTAAAATGTTTTGTAATGTAAAATATATAATTAAATATTTTTTGTTAATATTTATAATGTTCGTTATAGTTTTGAAGCATTTACATTTATATGTATATGTGTGTCATGTATTTTTTATAGGCAAATCCTAATTGAAAAAAGGAAAATATAAAAGAAAAAACCAGTAAGGAAAGTAGTAAAGTCGGACTGGGCCGACTATATGATACCCTTTACCACTTTATGTATATTGTACATATCGACGCCTCCGAACCATAGAATGCTAGGTTGAATTGGCATGTTTTAAAGTTCTTTACGTTTTTAGATACTACGGCCCTTAATTTAAATTCACTAAAATTTTGGTAATCATCGACCAATCCAAACCAAAGTTATAAGCAAAAATGTACTTAGCATGGCACGTACGATTAAAGAAACCTCCATACTTTGAAAGCTTCTACTGAAAAACTCACTTTTCAGACTTACCATACTATGGATCGGAGGCGTCGTCACGTCAATGTTCCCTCGAAGGAATACATACACCTTTCTGCAACATGTGCTAAATTTAATTTCAATAGGGCAGATTAAGAATCGTTTGTGTACAATGGGACAAATTTATGGAAATCGATTTATAGCAAAATTGATACACCCTACTCAATATGCCGCACTGTTAAAAATACAAATATATATAAAAACATTAGGAGTTTGGTGCACCATTTACCTAAAATCGGACGAAAATATATATGGGAGCTATATCTAAATCTGAATCGATTTTCTGAGAACTTAACACACATCATTCTGGACCTAATTCAGTACCCTATGCCAAATTTCGTGCAAATCGAAATATATATGGGGACTCTGGTGGCCCATTTTTCTTACATAGGTCGAAAACATATATGTGAGCAATATGTAAATTTGACCCGATTTTCTTGAAACTTAACACACATTATTCTAGGCTTAATTCAGTACGACATGCCAAATTTCGTGCAAATTGAAAGATATATAGGGATTTTGCTATATCTAAATCTGAATGGATTTTCTCAGCACTTAACACACATCATTCTGGATCTAATTTAGTACGCTATGCCAAATTTCGTGCAAATCGAAAAATATATGGGGACTCTGGTGGCTCATTTTCCTTACATCGGACGAAAACATATATGGGGGTACCCGTATATGGGGGCTATCCGAAAAAATGGATCTATATTCATATTTTTTTGTGGAGAGATTTGGTACCCATTATTAACACAAAATTCTAAATTACAGCCAATTCGGTGGAAAAATACGATAAAACCCCCAAAATACTGAAAATTGGGAGGTACCGTTATAAGTGGACCTATATTTATAATTTTTTGTGGGCAGATTTAGTACCCAGTAAGAACGCAATGTACCAAACTTCAGCGAATTCGGTTGAAAAACGGGCTCAAGAACCCGAAAATACCGAAAAATTAGGGGGGGGAGTACCATTATATGCATATAAACGTGGACCGATAAAGTCCATCCTGCCTGCAGACAAAAATGCAAATTTTGGCGATCTATCTCAATTCTTTTAGACGCTAGAGAGATTACAACATACAGACGGACCCCTGACTTGGCAACCCATAATTAATTTTAATTTCAGCAAGTCAAGGAAAAATAGAAAAGCGTTTAAAATATAAAAAATATCTATAAACAGAAAGCCTTCTTTTCATCTGTTAGAGGCCTCCATTCTATAAACCGAAGGTCTTTAAGAGATTAGACTGTAATGAACAGAAGAATTTAATAATTTACATGAGTCTTCAATAAAGTCAATGAAACTACGACAGAGAACCGACTAATATACGAAAGGATCTATATATAATCTAGGAACAGGATCTATATATCATAAACTTTATGTTGAACTTAGACCCTTAGTAGAACTTTTCTAAATAGAATGCCATGAATATGACATACTATATTTAGAACTTCTGCGGGTTTACCTTATTTAGAAGATCGTGTATATAGAAGATTTTCCAAGCATATATAATCATTTATTTAACTTTTCTATATTGAAGATCTTCTATACATTTGAAGTACGTAAAATATCATTTAAGGGGACACCCTCATTCTCGAATCTACACTAATTCAAGAATGTCCCTACAAAATTTCAAGTGAAAATCTCAAGAAAGTCTCTTGAAGATATAGCCGATTTATTCTGTCAGCAGCAAGTGACGGCTGAAGAGCTTCTCAAACATTAAACTCGTTTTTCGCTAAACGAATGGCGGGCACGATAACTCAAAAACTAACAACCCTTAATTTCATCCACTTAATTTGTTGTCACCCTGTACCTGGCTAATGTTTTCCTCAACTATTCATTAACCATCCAATTATGTAATTTTCTTTTCTTTTTTTTCAAATAAATATAAATCTAAGTAATGATGATTACAATTTAATCAAATAATAAAAATCAAAGTGTGAGTGTGTGTACATAAGAGTATTTATTGTTTGTGTAGCGTTGAAGTGCCACAGTGATTGGATGGATGGATGGATGAATGGATGTTCATCAATCATCATATCGTATACTATGAAGATGTATGTTTGTAAGAATGTATGTGTGTTTGGATGTACTCGATAGCTGTTTTGTTAAGTAGTTTTAAGCTACATTCATTGGTTGTTATTGTTATTTGAGTTGAGGTGTTTGTTATACATATATAAATGCAAATACAACACATGGTTCTTCTTGTTGTTGTTGTTGATTTTCTTCAAGTGTATACGAGTATACTTGTATGTATTTGTAATAGTATAATATAATAATATTAAATATGTTTAGGTATAGGTATAGTTTTTTTTTGTTGTTGTATTAAATATATATACTTTTATATATATGTTTGTTTGTTTGTTTTTGTATGTAAGTGTATAGTTTATATAAATATATATGTATATAAATAAAAAGTTAAGAATATAAATTGGTATTATAGTCAATGTATAAATATATAGTATATATATATAGAAAGTAGGTATGTGTATATGTAGGTAATTAGTAGGCTATTTAGTTATTTGGTTTAATTTTTTTTTTTGCTTTTGTATTTGATAATATGCAGGGGGTGTTTATATGTTGGGGTTTGCTTTTTGTATACAGAATTTGGGTATGTATGTGTTGTTGTTTTTGTTTGTCTTAATACTTTTAAGTAGTTTTTTCGTTTTGTTTTTTTTATCATTATCGTACTTTGTTTCTTATTTTCATCATTACTAATACATTTGAAATACTAATAGGAATTATGTTTGTTGTTTTTTTATTGTGGGGTTACAATTGATTAATGTTTTTATTTATCTAATAATACAATTTTTTTGGTGGCTTATTTATTTTTTTTTAATTTTTTTAATACGTTTTCCTGTTAGTTATCCTTCCCTTTATATCTATGAATATTTGTTTTTTGTTTTGTCGTTGTAATCGTTGTTAATGAGATGATGAAATCTTTATATCAATTCACGGTGATGATTGATAATGAAGAAGATGCCGATACTTCTTTGTGGTTGTTGCTAATTAAGATGATGATGATGATGGTGGTGAGGATGATGATAATAAAGACGATGCGAGATTTGAGCCGGCAGTGTTTGAAAATAAATAATTCTTGTAGGAATTTTTCAATATATTTTTTTGTGGATTAAAAAAAAAATATTTATATGGACACTTTATTAACTTTAAGTTCATGGGAAAGTAATCATATCCTAGGCATTAGAAGAATTGGAAGGTATATATTAGAATGTTTTTTTTCCTCCGAAAATGAACCTGAATGGATTTGTAATGAAACCAAGAGGGGACCAATGTCGACGATGAAATT